AAAAAAAAAAAAAAATCAACTACTCCAAGCTGCAGAGTTATTTATTGATGTTTATCCTGTAATGAGCTGATAAGAATTTAGACATGTTAGTAACCACTTCTTTGTCACTTTAAGCCATTTACTCCTTTCTATGGACCTCTCCTTTTCCTTATTATAAACTTTAAATAAAGTTCTAAAGATGGTCAAGGGTTCTAGAGAAATTAAGGGAAATTTAAATATCAGCTGCTTTAGAATAACAAAGCAATTGTTTCTCTTTTATTGTCTGACTGTTTAAAAGACTTCAACTCAGTTATAGCAGTTTTACTGTAAGCATTGAAGAATTGTTAAATAAAGGAGAAACATTAGATTAAATTTCATTTGACTTTGGAATAAGTTTCATACATAAGAGTGAATTGCTGGGGGCAAGAAAATGAATGATTATCTGAATTTGCTGAAGATGGAAGTAGACCAAGGCCAGAAGGCTTGACTAATTTTAATCTTTCTTTTCTTATTGAAAATACATGGTGAGTAGAAAGGAAAGGGATTCATAGATGCATGAATATGAGATACAACATAGTTTGCAGTTACTTTATGGATTGTTTTCCTTGTAACATTTATTGTTGATCATAAATTATCTTGTAAACGTTTTGTAACAAAGGGATTCATTATTCTACTTGTTTTTCTTCTAATTTCAATCACAATGATCTAAAAGCAATTAATTTTTAGGAATCATGAATAAAATTTAGATCTAATTCTTTGAAGTTTTGCCTCTAATCTACAACTCTCCACGATGCTTAATTGACTAATTCCCCAACGGTAGGTTTAGGATAGGTGTCATCCTATCTGTATGGTTTTAGGAAGAAGGAATTTTTCTCTGTTTTTATATTATTATTTGCCAGGAAGTCTGTTTCAACTCCTGGTGACCCATATGTGTAGGGCAGAACTGCTCCACAGGATTTTCTAGGCTGTGACATTTAGGAAGCAGTCACCAGGCCTATGTTCCTAGGTGCTTTGGGGAGTGTTCCAGCCACCAACCTGCCTCCCACTACTTGAACACATAATTATTTGTGCCACCCAGCGACTCCTTTTCTCTGCTTTAAGACAAAATTTAGACAGCAATGAGGACGAGAAAGACATAGAGAGGTACATGGGA